TATCGTGTCAACTGTCTCACACTGACCTTTCTGTTGTTGTTATTATTGCCTTGCTCTTGCTGCTTTGTCTCTCAAAGCACTTCGTAAACTCTGTTTTTAAAGGTACTATATAAATAAAGTTGTTATTATTATTCCTGCAGAGACATTCCTTTGGTCGAATATTAGCCAGTGTTAATAGCTTAATACTGCCCCCTGTTGTATGGGAGTGTTTATATCGTAGCTCATGTATACTGCCCCCTGCTGTATGGGAGTGTTTATATCGGCCAGGATCACATCCATGAGTTGCTGCGTTTTGGGACCTGCAAGACGTGATCATTTATCAAATGGCTTTCACCAGAATCAGAGAGCATTTGTAAAACCTCAGCTGCAGTATATGAAGTGCTTCCGCTAAGGAACGACATTTCCTTCACTTTCCCTCTGCATGGTAATACCATCGTTCCCTATCTTACATTGTAAGCTAACTTAGCAAGTGCAGTTTTAAATAACATGGAAGCCAGTATTAAAACCTGCTGCGTTCGTCGTTAGCTAATGTCAATGTTGGTTAGTCACGACAGTTTTCAAACCCTAGCGTAGTAAGATTACTGACGTAAGTCTGAGCCTGAAGTTTAGATTTAATGCTGAGATGCTTGTTTGCTTAAACTTTTATCGTGACGTTTAAAGTTAGCTCTGTGATGAGCAACTGTTCGCAAGCTAGGTATTGTTAGCATTAGCGAGCTAACGTTACCTCAGGTATTTTTTTTGTAACTTTCGCTGCTCATTAGCATAAGGTATCGTTGATCGACACAACATAACGTAAAGAGTTGTGATGTTCGATCGATAAGAAAATCGAAGCAACGTCAACCAGCAGGTTAGCTGGTGCACATCGGGGGGTATTGCGTGTTGCCATGGCGATTGTAGGACATAATTAGGTCACCAATGTTGAGCTAGTAAAGTTTCTCCATAAAACAAGTAGCTACTAGGGAGCTACGCAACGTTTGTTAAGCTAACCCTTAAAGCTACATTGGCGATCGCTGCACTTTCTGCCCATTAAGCTAACATTAGCTCGTGTCCCTTCGGGGAGCAGTGACAGAGGAGCTCGCGCTAACTCAAGCTCGCGCTAACTCGCTCATTGTTTTTCCCCGGGAATCCGAGCGGGCCACACACATAAAACCCACCAACGGCAACTAACGGTAACGGAGTGGGCACGAGATAGCCAGTAGTTATATCGTCAACGTAAAACCCACCAACGGCAACTAACGGTAACGGAGAGGGCACGAGATCGCCAGTAGTTATACCGTCAACGTACTGATGTTTTCATGCTGGTCGTGATCGGAGAGTTAACGGTAGTTAACGTTCAAGTTTACGGCTGTTGGTAAGACATGACGAATTAGATGCTTATAGTTCATAAAACCTGTCTGCGTTATCATTACAGTCATATCAATATGTAACGTATGATGAGTAATGCGTAGTTACTAATAGTTTACGTTAACGAGCTAACGTTAAGTGAACTACTGTTGGCTAAATAACCAATTTCATACGGTTAATTACAATTAAATGTCAAGTTTGTCGTCGTTTTTAGGCACTACCTTTATGTTAACTAAGTTAGTTAGTTAGCGGTAGTTAACGTCAACCTAATGCTAACGTTACTTTATTTTTTCCGTATTTTTCTGAAATTACCTTTTTTTTTTTGTTCTATTAATTTATGTTAAGTGTGTGTAACGTGCTTGTTGCCCTGTTTGGTGATCAGTGTCTCCTTTGTTTCCTTTTCGTATAATGTTTTTAATGTAGACTTGTATAACTTGCTTTTTGTTCTGTATTGTGTATGAAGGCAAATCACTGCCAAAATCCGAGAGCGCAAATGAGATCTGCGCGCGTGTGTGTAGACTTCCTGCGCGTGCAAATCAAACAGCCGCGCACGTACATTACTTCGACGAGCGCGTTCACATCACTCCGCGCAGAATATCTCTGCTTAAATTAAAGCGCAAGGGGCGTCCCCTAGCTCGCGACTAATATCACTGCTCTTCTGCTTGAAAAACTTTTACCTTTTTTTTTCTTTTTGACACTAAGTGGACGGTCCAAGTCACCATTGTATAACTACATTTAATTGGTTAATTGGATCTCATTTTGACAGTGATTTGCGCTCAAAATTGTGACTGGTGTTGCATGTTTTGTGAATTCCAGCAAGCTGTAACTAAGTGGGTGTCATGGCTACTGGAGGCACTCCTTCTGATGACGGTGCAGAGGAGCTGCACAACTGGACTGTAACCAATGGAAGTCTGGAGGATAGACTCAACAATCTGGTGAGGGCTCATTAGAACCTCATAGAAGAAGATTCATCATGTTGTACTGTATCTTATAGACCATATGCATCGGCCCCTATTAATGTAAACATGTATCATAATCATTTCAGGACTGGGGTGTTCAGCAGAAGAAAGCCAAACGATCTTCAGAAAAGAACAAGAAGAAGCTGGCGGCTGCAGTGGTGGAGATCCGCCTGACTAATGATATTTCGCCAGAGTCCACCCCTGGGGCCGGTCGCAGGAGAGCACGCACTCCTCACTCCTTCCCCCACATCAAATACACCACCCAGATGTCCGTCCCCGACCAGACCGAGCTGGACAAGCTGCGTCAGAGAATCAATTTCAAAGACTTGGATGAGGTGAGAAGCTGCTGTACCATCATGAATTGTTTCTGCTCAGTGTGGTCAATATGTTGTTGTTAATTCACATCCCAGGCATACGAGGGCAGAGTTTTTGACAGAAAGTGGCATTGTGTGACATACTGGTAGATAAATAAATAAATATGTGGGCAGTAACTTAGTCTGTGGACATAGATCTCACAATGAGCTGATGGTTTGACAAACTCGTAGTCGCATCACTTATTCAGTGATAAAATACCAATGCACGTGATGCACTGGCAGGCAGTAGAAGAAGTGATTGCAGAATATTTTTCATAGTTTGGTATAAGGTAGTTTAGTTGTGGAGTAGAATGGCGGAGCAGTAACATGTAGATCGTTGTGAAACTCTTCCAAGGTGGACAAAGTTTAAGTCAGAGAGGATTCTGTATCAATGTACTGTTTCTACTTTTTGACAGAAAAGAATGATGTAAACTATTAATTAACAACACCTACAGTATAAACAGTATATGATATTTTAAAAGACAATACCCGGAGGCTTGAGTGGTGATTTGCCTGACTTGTACATTCTTTTCTCACTCAGAGGAGCATTGGCAGTGACTCCCAGGGGCGCGCCACAGCTGCCAACAACCAGCGGCAGTTAGCTGGAGAGAACAAGAAGTCCTTCAACTTCCTACCTCTGCATGTAAACACTAACAAAAGCAAGGAGCTGCTGCCTCCTTCCTCCTCTGCCCCAGCCACACCAGCTATCAGCAAGGAAACTAAGAAGCAGAGCCCAGGACGCAGGGATATGTTCACCCCTGTGGTTCCTACCAAGGAGACTCCGAGGCCCAGCCGTGGTGGCACTGAGAGAGGACCCCTACCGCACAGAGCCTATGACAGAGGAGAACCCAGAATAGACAGCAGCCAGGTAACGTTTTGTTTTGATGTTGCCAAGGTTTTGGTCAGCTCTCGTCTAACTGCCACTTGATACCTTGTAGTCTAAGGAGTGAGTGGTATAAACACACACTTATGTGTACACAATTTGGTGCCAATCCATCAAGTAGATGCTGAGATATTTTACCAGAGGAAAAGTCCCATGATCACTAACGTTGTTAGGATTTCTCCTCTGGGTACCATAAATGTCTCTCCACCTTTCAGCGCTACACCAATGTTCACTTCAGTTTCTAAGAAACTAAACCAAGTGTATGGTCAAATTTTTTATATATATATATATATATATATATATATATATATATATATTTTTTTTTTTTCATGGGGTCTGGAGATGTGCAGCATTTAAGTATTTTAGTTAAAGAGGCTATAATTGATGTTTTTGCTGTAACAGTGTATCAAATGACACTTAAAAACGCTGACAATGTGAAAGGGGTTGCTAGTAGTGATGCGCCTACAAATGATTGTCACCTGATTCTGCTGCTCCTCTTTTGGCTTAGTGAGTCTCAGCTCATTGTTTTCTTGTACTGTCCATAACTTTTCGTTCAAGTTTTGGTTCAATCTCAGACGAGATATTTTCAGGGAAAAAGCTCTAAACAGCTGTACACTGTCTGCTTAGCACCAAACAGCAGAAAGACACAATTAGCGATTAGCAGTTGAGCTTAACAGCTAAAGAGACAGATCATTGTATGTAGAAACCAAACACGGTGCTAAAAGGGAGAGTGAGTATTGAATGATAATGTTGCTACGTAACCATTGGTGGTGTGAATATGGCACTATTTGTTAACAAGTTTGCTATATTAAATTGATAGGTGATGACATTGTGTTAACAACTTCCACTGCCCCCAAGTGGCCAGAAAAATCAGGTATTGAAGAATTAAGTGTACTGCCGTTCGAAAGACATTATTTCACATTTAATTTAAATGAGTCCCTTTTCACATGTACACTTGCTCGTGTCTTTGTGTCACTGCGCTCCAGGCTACTCTGTGAAACCAGAACTAGGATGAAAGTGAGGGAGAGCTAGTGCAGCCGAAACCAGGCTGTATTTAGGGCAATTTATAAATAAGCCACCACTGGTGCCCAGTGAGTTCTGTGCCCAACCCCCTTCTGCCCTTATTCAGCCCAATCTGAGGCGTTGCTGCACATGCTCGCTCACCTTTCTTTACTTCTTCTTTTTATCTACTCTTCTGAAACCCACACCCATACACCACCCTCCTCTCTCTGCACGGTGTCAGGTGGTGAGCAAACTGGTACAGATCCGGGAGTACATCAGTAAGGCCAGCTCCATGCGGGATGACCTGGTGGAGAAGAACGATGTGCCGGCCAACGTGGAGCGTCTCTCACATCTCATCGACCACCTCAAGGAGCAGGAAAGGTCCTATCTACGGTTCCTGCAGAAAATGCTGGTTAGTTTGTCATTTGTTTCCTCATTATCATTTTCAAAATGAATCTTGTCCTTTTGCTTTTCTCATGCTGTCAGACATTTTTAGTAAAAAAAAAAGTTGTCTTTTGGTGGAAAGCTTGTTTGTTAGTATGCGGGTGAAATGGAACCTCTTTGTGTTGTTATCCTGGCCGCTTGTCACTCATATATTTTTAATGGCTCTCTTTCTCTGTGGCCAACCGTCAAGTCTCATGATGGTAACATTAGGACATTCAGTAGCATGCTACCTTCTAGTGCAGGGTGGCTTTGTTTTGTGTTTGATATCACTTTGAACTAACTAACTATATAGTAATATTTGCCAGAAACAATATTTTTTGTTTTGCAGATGGTTAAATTCAATGCAGGTTTTTAGTTTTCCATATTCCCAGACATTTAATCAGCTTGAACATGCAGGCATTCTCTATGGAGCATTTTGGGAAACATATGGCATGTTGAATTATTATCAATTACTAAGTAGCTTACCTTAACAATGCCAAACAATTGTTGGACAAAAGATTGTACTTTTTATTTTTCAGTGATTTGAAAAGTAACCGTCTCTTGCTGTTCCTTCCACTCTCTCTCTCTAGACGCGGGAGGATGACGAGGACGATGTGGGGACCCTGGACTCTGCAGTGGGCTCTGGTTCACTGGCTGAGAGCACTTCTCTTAACATTGAGGTTCGTTCCTCAGATGCCTCAAATGCAACGGTGTGTACATTTGGTGGAAGCAGGTCTCTGTTACGTTGCACGTAGCCATTATAATTAGTGGGAGGTGATTGTATTTTGTCTTTTAAATCCAGACATGAAAATGAGACGCGCAGCACCGTTGTTGTGTCTTGGTGAAGTCGGTGTTTGCAAGGCTTTTGTGGATGTGACTTTTGTAGGGCGGTAGGCCAGAAACAGTGCGAGCTGACCAGAAGGAGGAGCTGGAGAATCTGCGTAAGCAGCACGAGCTGCTGAAGAAGATGCTGGAGCAGCAGGAGCAGCTCCGGGCCCTGCAGGGTAGACAGGAAGCACTAATGGCCATGCAGGACAGTGCAGAACACGCACTTGCTGTGATTGAAGACACTGGTTAGATGCACACTAACACAGCCACAGGCCCATTCACAATCAAATGCAGACCTATAGTTGTTTTGTGTTTCCAGAAGAAAAAGTAGTGCATATATTACTTTTCTTCCAGACAGAGATGCATCAATGGCAACTCAGCTGGAAACCTTGTAATTAGAATGTAACTGCAAGAACCAATTTAATTTTGGAAGGCATATTTATATACCATTTTTAAAAATAGACGTATGTTGACAGTTTCCATTGTTTGAAGTCACATTTTTATGATTAAACAAAATAAACAAACAACACATAAACAAATATATGTTGAATTCATTTGACATTTTGTTGTCGTTAGTTGTCACAGAAACCACAGGCAGTGTTTCAGGCCTGAGCATCACATCAGAACTCAATGATGAGTTGAACGATTTGATCCAGCGGTTCCACAACCAGCTACATGATTCTCAGGTACAGCAGACCTACTTAAATAACATCATTACGTCATCTACAACTGTCTTCTGACTAATACCATATATTTTTTAATGAGTAGTAATAATAATGATTAATGTCAGCATGTGGAGATCATTATTTTATGAAATTTGTTGGACATAATCTGTAATGTTGGTTTGACAAGCCATGTCAACTTTGTTATTTCATCAATAAATGTGTTTTTAACTGTTTCATCACACAGTTATTGCTCAAATGTTCTGTTATTTATGCCTTGTAGACTAAAGCAGTGCCAGACAACCGTCGCCAGGCTGAGAGCCTTTCCCTCTCAAGAGAAGTGTGCTGGTCTAGGGCTCCCCATGCTGTTGGTCCACCTCAGCACAGGCCTCTCCTCCACTCTGCATCTGGTCCCCACACTGGTCTAGACACTGGGGCAACAGCCGCCACCAGTGCCAAACTCACTAAGCTCCAAGAGCTCCAAGACAAAAAGCAAACCATGGACAAGATCCTGCAGGAGCTGCATTCCCTCAGAGACCAGACACTTAACAACAACTCATGTAAGAGTATCTCTGAAGCTTTTTTTCCTCATAATTCTGTGGCTTTTTCCCACTATAAAATGATGGACTGTATGTGGTTCCCCTCAGGTCGTGGCTTGTCAACCCAGTGCAGTCTGAGTGTGGGAGGATCTTCAGAATGTCCATCTGCTCTCTGCTTCAATGGGGCCTCAGCTTCCACTCCCTTTCATCCTTCCCGGACGCAACACCAGAACAGCTCCAATTCCACAGACAAGCTCAGGTACGCACAAAGACACGCATCTCTGAAGAGGCAGCTCAGATATCAGCACCAGGGTGTTTTATAGAGTGGGGATGGTGTAGTGACAGAACCTACTGCCTGTCCTTGTGCTCACAAGTTTCATCCTTTGCTAAAGTGGTGTTTAGACTCTGTTGATACGGGGGCTTTTATGTAGGTGTCTCTGTACTTGGAAATTAAGTCGAGGAGGGAATTGTGAAGACATTGTTTTGCCATGTTGCATAACCGTTTTAATTATTTAGCCTAGTATACGTTTACATTTAATTTGCACATTGGTTGTTCTTTTCTACTCCCTACAGGAAGCTGAAGGAGGTCCACAAGCGTTTGAATGAGCTGCGGGAACTGGTTCAGTACTACGAGCAGACCTCTGATATGATGGTGGATGCAGTCAATGAGAATGTGAAGGAAGAGGATGATGAGGAAGAGGAAGAGGAGGAGGAAGATGAGACGGAGGATGGTTCTATGTTTGAGGCTATGTTTGACTCTGAGCAGGAGAACCGGCAGCCTGTTACAAACATCAGGTGTGTTTCTAACACACGGTGTGTGTCCGTATGTTAATTGTTCATTTATCTCTTCTTAAATGCCAAAAAATTGTTCTTTACCTTCTGCAAAACGGTTTCAAATGTTTTATCAAATGCAAAGCATTTCATTTAAACCGTACACCACTTAAATATTCCATTTCACTGTGAAATGGATCACCGTACAGAAGCTAAAGACTCTTTAACTTCTCTTTCACCGAGTCTTTAGATAAATAGATACTTATTTTCTCCATAAATAAAGGACCGATTGGACTTTAATTGAGCGATTAATCATAATACTAAAGCTCCAACAATTAGTCAATTTAACAATTGGGGTTAAAAAACAATACCACAGAAGAAGATTAAAGAAAGAAAAAAGAAAAAAATCAGCGGCTATTTTGATAATCAATTAATTGTTTAAATTAGTTTTCAAGCAAAAAGTCAAATGTGGAATGTTATGATTTGCTGCGTTTCCTCTTCTTACATTATATTAATTGGTTAGAGAAAACAAGACTTTTGATATCATCTGCTTGGGCTCTAGGACATTGTGATTTTTCTTTTTTAAACAAAATGATTAATAAATTAATTGCTAGATTAATTGATAATTAAAATGATTGTCAGTTGTAGTCCTACATTATTCACAGGGTTACCTGTGTTGAAATTGTTACATTGTACTTAAACACCGCCAATGGGAGGATTGGTGGTTGTTGGGCTCAAGTTAAAGTACGATGAGCATTAGGTCACAGTGTGTGCAATTCTGCTACCGGCATTGTGACGTGTCTATAACAGTAACTGCACTTTATGTCTTTAGAAACCCACAGCGCAGTGGGAACTGGACAGACTTGAACAGCCTGATCAACCCGCGCAGTGTCAGGAGCAGTGCCACCAACAACCGTGATGGAAGACTCAACACGGAGTGTGAGATCAACAACCGGTCTGCAGCCAACCTCCGCAGCCTCAACATCCCCTCGGCCATAGGTACACTCATGCACACGCGTACACACATCCATGTTACAGCTGATTATTTACACCTTTTTTTTTTTTTTTACTAAAAAGGTTAATGGGTGGCATAAAGATGTGATGGCATAAATATAACTGAATATAACTGCATTGCATTTGCCGGCAGCTTGCAGTCATCCCTCCATTTGATGATTTCCAACTGTCCCTTCTTTCATGCTTGTATTGACAGAGGCACAACAGTGCAGAGATATGTTGTTTCATACTGTGGAATAGTGTATTCTCATTATTATTGATAAACATGCTTTTCAAACTGATTTAAAAAAAAAAAAACTGCATGCATTTCGGACACCTGAGATAAAATTCAAAACAAGATATTCACGTACATTTGTTCGGTAATGTGTCTTTGATGTGAGAGTGCTGTGAAGTTCTGTGTTAATGTAATGTTTAAGGAGGGAGAGACACCCACTTTTAAATGATGTTTGATTTCATCTTTGCTCTCATTTAGAGTGCCAGTACAATAGGGACACCCCCTATAATCAGGTGAAGGATGAGGATGAGGATGAAGACGACCTAGATAATGATGAAGGGGCACAGGCTGTGGCTGCAGACAGTGAAGCGTCGGGATCTAGTCAAAGAAGCAGTCTGGGAAACAATGGCGGTTTTGCCCAGAAGGTTCATCGGCACACAGCGAAGCAGAAACTCCGGCAGCTTCAGGAGCTGGTGGCCATGGTTCAGGTGAGGCAGACGACAGAACAATAGTAAAGATTCCACAGCAAGACTGGAGGTACTCTTTGATTGACACAATTAAAGGAGAAGTAACGAACAGCACTCTGCTTTGATGTCTTATTTACCTCTGTTATACTGCTTTGAGATTCTATCACAGTTTCTTTTCTGTGGCCGTTTTGTAGGCTTATCAGTTTCCCTCTTCTCTACTTTTCTCGAGCCTTCCTCATCTGTGTTCATAACCGTAGCGTTCAGTTCTGACTACCGCTTCTTTACAGTACTTTGTGAATCTTCAACCCTTACAGGGAATCTAAAACATTTACACAAATCCTCCAACAATAGACGCCGGGTCTATATGGGAGAACTACCCCGACATCTCTGAATCCTTCACTCAATGGCCTCACTTCTGCATTTGATATAACCCCCTTGATTAACAAATAGATTTACATCATACATTTAATAGGACCTGAAATAGTAGGTTAGTTCTGTTAAGATGAAACAAGTTGACAATTCTGTCTATCGGGCAAAGCATTTGAAGAAATGTCTGACTTTGTCAACTCCTATTGGTAGTAACTGATGCTTAAATGTTTCTTCATGAAACATGACATGTTGGATCTTGTTGTTTTTCACCTTTTTTATGGGAATAGAAAACTCTTAAAACAAATCATGAGCCTTTGACTACAAGGAAAATGTACGACTGTTGTTCTTAAACGGCAGTAAAAGGTTTTTTCCTGAGGTGGTGTCCACCACCTTGTTTTTGTACTTTAGAATGTGATGTCTCACTCGTCTTAAGCTGAACACGGTGTAAAGTGTGTGTTTCTGTCTGTGTCCAGAGTGACGACACTGATGGCACAACAGCTAATGAGGATGAAGCTTTACACCAACAGCCAAATAATACCAGAGCTACTGTGGTTGGTGCGTTCAAGGACGGATCTAAACCGAGTCCTCGAATACTCACACTCTCCAGCAAGGCCAGGTACAGTACAATGTTTGAAAAGACTGTTGACGGCCTGTACAGTTGTCCTGAAACATTATTATTATTAATTATATTCATTTTCATTGCATCCTAACTATTCTGGATGCAGGAAGAAGCTGTATGAGGAGAAGCTGCGTCAGCAGAAGCAGGAGCTTAAGCAGCTCCATGAGGAGCGCCAGAGGCTCACTGAAATCCAAGGCAAGATTCAGGATCTGCAGTGGGCTTGCCCTGACCTTCAGGTATGTTACACACACACACACACTCCGGTTTTGCTATGAAGCGGATTCAGTAGGTAGAATTGAAATCAGATTTAAAAATGTTTAGAAAAAGTGTTCAATATTTTGTCCACCCTATTTAGATCAAATAAGGTGTGGAATAAATAATACAAACACCTCTTCCTAAAGAACACCATAAAATTACCTTAAAGTTGAATAAAGAGTTAAAATAAAAACAGTTTCAACAAAAACTACATGAATATAGGGTTTATAATACGGCTGCTGTATTAGACTGGATTACATTTAGCTAGGTATACCTAATAATCTGGCACCTTTTTAAAGGGTTGCATATTCTATTTAGAAACTATACAGTCTTTACTTTTTGCGTTCTCTTTTCTAGTCCTCTGTGTCCAGCACAGTGAGTCAGCACGGCTTGCTGAGGAAGGTTCCAGTTTCAGTTTCCTCTCCGGCCACTGTCCCGGCTTCCTCCTCCTCTGGACCCCAAACTAACTCGGCCGTGTTAAAACCCACTGCTCCAGAAGCAGCTTCTCCTTCAGTCACTGACAATGAGGTAACAGACTCAACCTTACACACACACACACACACACACACGGCTACAACTCTTCAAATGTCACAATGAGATGTGTACATTCCGAACCGTACAGATTACCGTTAACTGTTCTCCTCTGGTCTTGTATTGTCAGCAGCTGTGGTCTGAGATGCGTCGGCACCAGATCTTGCGGGAAGAACTGCGACAGCGCAGAAAGCACCTAGAGTCCCTGATGGCTGAACACCAGAGGCGTAGTGGTCTCAGTGACTCTCCTAGGCGGATGGACGACTCGGAAGGCCTTGCTACAGCCTCACAGCCTGTCAGTAGGGATGAAAGGTAGGAGACATGCTGCTCTAGGGGCCCGTCTCACCAAGTCCAAGATAGAAGTCGACTAGCTTAGCTGTCTTTAGAGGTGCCACGATTCTCCAAATCCGCAATTTAATTTGACTTTAAGGTCACAATTGGATTGTCAGCACTGACAGCTGTGCCATTTGCAAGGATCAACAGGTCATTGGTTTTATGTCCCTGCCACAGTGTCTCGAAAAGCGCAGCTGTAGGGCAGGCTACTGTAAAATACGTTTTTTCTCTCATCAGACACACTTAAGTAGGCAGGGGAAGGAGGAAAAGAAATACAGGGAGTATCGCAGATCCTGCTTTTGACTTCGAAGGTTGAAATGGAAAGCTTATTTTGATATTTTTTTCCATTTAGAATAGAAATTGTGACACTTCTAGTTCTAAACATATTCAGTGTAACAGGAGATCCTTTCAGATGAACAGCAGAGACCCCCACAGCAGCCACATTGTACAACATGAGCTCTTATGCTTTGCTAAAACATGTTGTAAGAGCTGTTGTTATTTATTTTTTTAGCTGGAGTAGGGATTAAAACTGATGGCCCCATACAATACACAATTTGTACCAATTTGCCAATGTGTCTTCAGGACAATGGCTACCTGGGGTTCCACTCCCTGCCAACTTGATGATGATGATGATGAAGATAACGATGATGATGAAGATCACTCCGAGATGGGTGCAGAGGGGGAAGAGGAGCATGATGAACGTGTAGAAAGCAGCTCTGATGACGACATCCACATATACTCATCCAGTAGGAACCAGTGCTCCTACAGTAACAGGAAGAATCAAGGAAGGTCAGAAGAAGTGGAAGCAGAAGGAATTCTATTGCACTGATATCTATCATCTGTCTTTTAAAATGATGTTCACGCTTAATTTTTGTGTTTTTAGCAACCTGAAGCCTCCACCAGCCTTCTCGGGTGAAGGTAGTGGGAATCCATCTCTTCATAATAAGACTCAGGCCAAACAGCACCAGCAGCAGCAGCAGTCCAGAACTTTGAACCAGTCCGCAACGAGCCAGCATGGAGCTACACGGCGACAAGAGAACCTGCGCTGGGCCTCTGAGCTCTCCTTCGCCGAGGGCTCGGGTCAGTGGCAAGAACAGGTCAGCCAGCTGCAGAGACAGCTGGACTTCAGCACCAGCATGTGTCAGACACTCCTGCAGGACCAGCAGGTTTGTGGACAGGACAAATACACACACATACACCGGCACTGACCTTAACAATCGACACAAGCTTGCACTGCAAGAGAACAGTGACTTCATTGACAATTCCACTATAACTAAGACTCATAGCTTTGTTTAGGTGTTTTGTTTTTTACTTTGTCTTTTTTTTTTAATAATGAAACCGTTATTTCAAACAAAAACAAATTCTCTCACCTCCTTCCACAGACACTCTCTTATATGTTGCAAACCCTGCTGACAGGTCAGTACAGTTTGTTACCCAACAACCTGTCATCACCACAGGTCCACCTGGTCATGCACCAGCTCAACCAGTGTTACACCCAGCTGGCTTGGCAGCAAAACAACGTACAAAGGTGAAAAAAAAAGTATACAACAGTACACCTCTTGATTTCTATCAAATGGTTCATTTTTTAAATATTTTCTATATCCTGTCATACTTTTCCTTCAGACTAAAGCAGGTCCTTAATGACCTCCTTCGCCAGCAACAGCAGCAACAGCAGGCTTCCTCTTCCACAGCCGGTTGGCAGACACAGAAGCATGGCTCATCCCAGGAGTCCAGCTCCGGCACCTCAGCCTCCCCTGGTGTCTTCCTCCCCTTCTCCTCCACCCTGCATCCTTCAACCAACAACATGTCAACGGCTGCCTTAGCCCCGTTCCCTCCTAGTATGACATGGATATTTTCTACCTCTTGAGATTCAAATTCTTAATCCTCACACTAAACATGTCTTGAATTGTGTGCATTAGAAGCAACAGCAAGCTAAATCATCTACATGAGGCTCAAAAGGTTTACAGTGATTATTTTAGACCAACTAAAGATTTTTAGGTCATTGCATTTATGAAAATCTTAGCGATGCCTCTTTGCAATAAAAGAAAATCAGAATATTCAAGAAATGTTTTTTTTTTTTTTTACTGTACACTGTCTGAACATTGTTTATGTTCTCAATACTGGTAGGAGTAATCTTCTTCAGGTAGTACATTTTAATTTGAAGTTAGTTATAGATTTGTGAAGTGATTCACTTGGGTAGAAATGAAAGGCCAAACGTCCTGTTGTCATGATTTAATTGATTCTTTGGACTATTAGCTCTTCCACATTTGCAAATTCATTTTTTTTTTTTTCTTCTTTTTTTTCACTCTGCAGGCTTTAATTTATATCCACTCTTCCCGGCTACTATGGGCGAGTTCCCTCTGGGTGCAGCAAGTCAGGCGACCCCTGACCACCCAAAGCAGCCGTTAGACCCCAACACCTCAATTAAAACAGACTACATGAGTTTCCCTCCTCCACTGCAGCGCTCTCCTCTTAACACCACCACAGATAGAGGGTACGTCCATCATTTCTGCCTGAGAGGTAATTTATATCTATTCATGTAGACCTTATTGTTCATATATTTATTTTCCGTGTGACCCCTTTAGACCGTCTGGCTGGCTTAAAACCTCCTACGCAAACAACACCGTCCAGCATCACCGATCCAAAGCCGAACCCCAAGAGTCTCCCTCCTCCTATGCCGGCCGCCACCCCAGACCTCAAGAATTCGACAGGGCATCACAGGAAAGCTTCAGCAGCATGCCGGATCCTGTTGATCCCACCACCATCACGAAGACTTTTAAGGCCGGGCGCAAGGCCTCTGCACAAGCCAACCTGGCCTCACGAAGCAAGATGCCCAGTTCCAAGAGTCGTCGCAGGAGGAGTAGAGGACACAACAAGAACAGTGATGGTATCAAAATTGAGCTGAATCTTCTGTTTTATTTGCTGACAAAGACTTAATGAGGAAAATCTCATCAGTGTTTTTCATGTATTTTTTGCAGGCCATGAGAGTGACAGTGTTGGCAGCACTGCAGACTTTGTCCAGAAGAGGGCAGCCCTGTCCCATCAGAAGGATGAGAATAAGAGTCTGCTGGACAAGCTAACTCGAGAGAAACTTCACAGCAAAACTAAGCCTGGAAACAAACCAAACGACTTCTCTTCTGGTGCGGGTCAAGCTGCTTGTAGTGACACTTATGCACACACTTCCACCCTCTTTTGTCTGTGTTTTTGCTTTTTCTTTATTTACATTTATTGTCTGCATCAGGCTTATTTTACATCAGTCCTTTTGTCCTTTACTATTTTTTTGCACATTTGTCATGACCTCGTGTTTCATTTTAATTTTGGGTTAATTTACTTTGTGTCACTTTAATTTATCTCACTCGCAGCCTATGCTTGGAGAACACCCTTCCTCTCTAACAGAATTGCATGCACAGAAGCACCAGGTAAACTCACAATGCAACCCAAAGCATCATGTGGTTATTATGTCGCCTAAACATCCCATGTATGTTCTGTTTTTGGCTTAACCTAAACCAAAGCTTCTAAGTTTGAGGCTAGACTATTTATTTTTTTTTTTTTTAACTAATTAATGAGGTTATGCAAGTATCCACTCAAATCTCACGCTGGCATATCTTGAACCTGTAGATGCAAGCAGCGACTTCTCACTGTTCGAGGCACTGAGGGAGACCATCTACTCTGAGGTGGCTACTTTAATATCCCAGAACGAGTCCCGCCCCCACTTTCTCATTGAGCTCTTCCATGAGCTGCAATTGCTCAACACGGACTACTTGCGGCAAAGGGCACTGTATTCCCTACAGGTACGTACAGACACATGTAGCCGTTGTATGTAGCATGTATGGATACAGATTTATCTCTCAAACTATTCTCAGACATAATTAGGGCTGTCTTGACCATTTTAAACCGTTTGAGACTTGATATTTGAGCGAGTTTGGGTCCAGAGGTCCAGAAACCGATAAATAAGAGATCAGAAGAGTTGGAGAAATCATGATAAATGAGTTTCCTCTTTCATTCTACTTTCATTTTGTGTGAGTGTATTGAGTGTGTATGTGATGTACTTTATAATTTCATTGTTTGTGTAAATCAATCAGATTTTGAATCAGCCAAAGTTCCACATCTCCTATAATCTGAGCTGTAAATATATATATATACATACACACACACACACACACACAATGTCCCCCTGAGAACTTACAATGGTATCTCCCTGTGTTTCTTCCAGGATATAGTGACCAGACACCTGTCAGAGAAGAGTGCAGCCGAGGACCAGTTGCCCCTTCTTGGTCCTGTGGTGTGGGCTGCAGGCTCTCAGTCTGAGCTCACACCCAGTGAGAGTTTGGCAACCAGTGATGCAGTAAGAGACACATTATTGCTTCCCAGTGGGGCATTCTCACACGTTTCTAATGTTTGTTCTCTTATATCTTCATTTCTGTGTCACTCCATAGTGAGGTATCTACCAGTACTGAAGTATTTCTCCCAAACCTATTTTTAAATCACTTTTACTTGCTTCCTCTTCTACATTTCACTACATCTTTCATTAGTTTCTCTCTCTCAGCCTTGTCCCCTTTCATCCTTCCCCCGCCTTGTCCCCTTTCATCCATCCATGTCTTTCTTTATTCTCTGTTTTTAATTTCCCCTCTCACCATCTTCATTGTCTTTGAATTTAATTTGGCAGCAAGACTTCAGAAACCAGTCTGTAAAAAAATTAAAAAAATGACCATCATCTCTCCATGTCTCTTTTGCCAGATCAGACATGTGTTCTTTGTTCTGGTCCAAGGTCCCCAGAGTTACACTAATTGGATGCCAGGCCTTTTTTTTCTGTCTAAATAATGCCTTTGTTCAAGAATGATGGATGAAATTTCTAATTCTGCAAGTTAGGAGACTGACAAGAGTAGCCACCATTGATGTTAATACTATATGCTGGAAATGTTAGATGGACATTCGGCTGATTTTAACGTGGATCTGTGAGGAATTATCGATTCTTCTATAATCCAAACAATTGGGGGTAAAAAAAACTTTTGGTTTAGGAAATGTCTGATATATACAGAGGCTGTCTCTAAACAGGATCTTTACCCTTTTTTTTTCTTTTTTTTTTCTTTTTTTTTTTTCCAGGAAGTTGTGGAGAAAAACCTGAGGCTCACACAGGATATGATGAAGAAGAGGGATGATGCCGAATCTGTGGGCAATGACAGCACCATGTCAACCTCCTCCAACCTGGAACCGTTTGCTAGCGATGACCTGGGTACAGTTACTGTGTGCATGTAGAAACTATTTGGGACTGAAGCTTGTAAAACTGTATAGCTGAAACCAATCCAGTGACACAGTCACTGTCTTTCACGTTGCTGTTTAATTTTTGCAGAATTCTTTGAATACAATTATGTGCATCTGTCTGTGTGCAGGAGGTGCAGCTGATGTGCACTGTCATCAGAACGACAACCAGCAGTTAGACCGTCGGATCAAAGCCATCATTACAGAAGTCATTCCTTTCCTGAAGGTAGGACAACACAGTGAATGTGTTGGAAATGAACATTCATGAATATCCTGTACTTGAACTGAACTACTAAATTTAAAAGGGTGCTTGTTAATCATTAGTCAGCAAAGGTTTTAAGGCTCAGATTGAATGTCATCAGCACTGGGTACACCACTGTGTTTCAAGAGTTAAAACACTCTGTAATGTTCATGTTTTCTTTCACTAGGAGAACATAGATGAGGTGTGCTCCATCCAGCTGTTGACATCTGTGCGGCGCATGGTCCTTACTCACACCCAACTGAATGATGAAGACAAGGAGTTTGTACGCTTTCTACACAGACAGCTGGGAGGCATTCTGCAGGTATGACGGTGACGACAGCAGTTTATTCAGTTGCCGGTGACACAAGTTTAAGCATTATGAAATGAAGAACAGCCTTTCTGATATTCTCACTCTCTTGTCTTGCTCCAGGACTCTCTGAGTCAATTTGTGGGCCGTACTCTGAAGGACTGTGGGGAGGATCTTCTGGTGGAGATCTCAGACATCCTCTTAAATGAACTCGCCTTGTATCGGTTCATGCAGTATTTTGACGACAGCCGCAGCATTGCCCTGGCAGCCAAACACAAATATAAGAAGAGGACTGAGCAACCCAGTAGAGCAAAGCACGGCCTCAGGGTAAGTTGTTTTTTGGTGGTATGAATTAACAATGTAGCACAGAAGTTTGTTTGATTGAGACTAATTCAACCCTTTATGTTTATAATTAGGAAAATTCAGACGCTGGTGTTGATAAATCAACTTCTCCAGCCTACACAGATGAAGACAAGGTCAGTCGTTTTAACACCGATAATGAAAGTGTCAATACCACGTAAGATCACCAGTAATCTGATACAATAATGTCCCTCTTGTTCTTCCAGGACCAAGATGAGGCTGAGCAGGAAGGTACCACCCTGCAGGAGCTTTACCTGCAAACAGAGAGGAAGAACAGCAGGAGGAGCAGTGAAGCTTCAGAGGTGGAAGAGGAGGATGAGGATGAAGAGGGTGGACAGGGAATCCCTCTGTCAATCAGTGAGTGAAAATATTTAAAAGGGCCCCTTGGTATCATTTACCCCCCAAAAGAAAGCCAAAATGCAATATAATCTGAGATTATTTATTAATTTATTCCCCCAACCCCCCCCCCCCCCCCCTCCCCTCTCTCTTTCACATTAAATCTGACATTTTGTATGTGTTGTGTATATGCCTGGACAACATTGCCACATTAGTTGTGCCAACACTAGCGTAGGCTAATTGACTCCCACTCACTTCTAAATGCCATAACAAAGTCAACTCATGCCTTCTGGTTATGTGGTAATCCATCACTGTCAGTGAGTCAGGATGTAATAATAGTAGTGTAGTAAAACAGTTCTGCAGGAAATTAGTAAAACATTCATGCTTTAATGTTTTTCTGCCTAAATGCAATTTCATGTATATATACACACATGCATGCATTGTACGTGTCATTCTCGTGTGTCGTCTTTCTCTCAGGTCTGTCTAAAGCAGAGACGCAGGCCCTGACAAACTACGGCAGTGGAGAGGATGAGAATGATGAGGAGGAAATGGAGGAGTTTGAAGCTGGACCTGTTGATGTCCAAACATCCTTGCAGGCTTCTGCTGATGGACAGGTGGAGCAGGAGGTCAGTGTTACTTGTGCCGCACAGATATTATTTAATAAACAACCATTACTTGTATTTTTTCACATACTGTTCTCAGTCTGACGCGTCAAATTGTTTCGCGCTTCAGGGGACGACACACAGCGAAACCCAGGAGACCAAACAGAGGAGCTCAGGTTATGATGATGATGATGCTGGTGAGGCCCTCCTTCATATTTTCACTGGGAATTTAAACTGGCTTTTGTCTGATAGAAATCTTGTATTTTTTTAAAAAATCTAATCACATTAACGTTGTCTTCTTTTTATTGTTGATTTTAGGAATCAACAAGTCGGTTGTCGCTGTGGACTCCGCAGTAGAGGACCCTGACATGGCGGAGTGCCAGAGTCCTGAAGAGGACAGAGACGTTGGGGCCGCTGCTGCCTCAGAAGGAAGCTCCCATGAAGTGTCTCATGATCAGGATGTCCTCAAGGAGCCAAACACCACGAGCAGCCCTGACACAGACTCTCCCGTCATGATCAATGTAGATGTAAGTTCAAGGCTGGATACATATGCGGAGCACAATTCTGATTAAACTAAACATCTTCAATCGTCAAGTTTTACCCATTTAGTCTGTGGAATGACGGCACTATTACTCAATAGTATCACACTACAAACATTTCTATTCATTGTGGCTGTGTACTGATTCTATCAATGTTATTGATGCAGGAGATGGGTTCAGGTAACACCAGTCAGAAATCTGATGAAGAAGACTTTGTGAAGGTGGAAGATTTGCCATTGCAGCTGACAGTCATGTGTGAGGTGCGTAACAGCGAACAAATGAAACGCGTGTGTATAACACTTTCTATAAACTATAAATAACATCTGATCTAATGATATCCTCTGTGCTGTGGCATTAGGAGGAACTCCAGATGAGAATAGTGGAGGAGCAGCAGAATAACAGGCTGTCTGTAGCGATCCTCAATGGGAACACTGAATCGCTGACTGGGCTGGTGGGAAATGCACAGGCACTGAAGGAACCAGGTATGGAGGACGGCTTTGTTTGTGTAGTTGCCAAATAGCCTGCAAAAGCTAAGACACTGTGTCTTGTTATCATGTGTACATCTATACAGGAATTATCTGCTGTACCTTAACTAATAGTCCATTGCTTTTAGAGTAATTTGTGTTTTTTCCTTTGTTTCTTCTCAGACACTGTTGGTGCCCAGAGTGTGTAAAGATTTATACCAATGTCTCAAAATCTACTGTTTTTAGCAACACTATGATTACACCCTCAATCTGCTCTGGATGTATGATTGTTGATTCTTTATCTGCTAGTTTAAAGGAGCAAAGGCTCATTTTATTCCTGAATGTTTAATGTGATTAATGTGTAATCTGGGGAGGGCTTGTCTTTATGCTGCTGATTAATGACAGTCAAGCCGCTGTCTGAGTCTTTATAGTCCTGAAACTCTCGGTCAGATTCACCTTAGTCTCCTTCTTGGTTCTGGGATCAGTTTAACATGAGTTGTGATTTTATTATTCTTGTTTTATTTGTCTTGGCCTTATTGTTACACAGCTCGTCTACACTGCACTCCATTCCTAGTTCTATGGAGGTTCCAGTAGGATGGAAGTTCAGTGTAGACTGACTGACTTAGCTAATGGTTTCTCCAGCTTGAACACTTTTTCCATTATATCAGAGCTCCAAGCTCAGATTTCACTTTTATCCCTTCAGACACATCTTTATATACTGTTCTGTTAATGTTTAGTCTCCATTGATTTTCATGTAATTAAAATGTTGACGACAGTAATAAGTTTTAAATAATAAAATGCTTGAACTTTAAAAACATCGTGGTGTGTGTTGGCACGTTTTGTACTTCAGTGTTTACATGTATTAACCATTTAGGCCTTGCCAACGCTGTAGTGTTATGCCTTTCTTCAGCAGCTTAATATCAGACCTACTGTTAAAATGTTATCACTGTGGTTTACACTACTGCACAATACTTAGAAAATAGATCTGATTAGTCAATTGACAATTGCAGATATGCTTTGCTCTACATCACAAAGAAGTCATAGTGTAGTAAGTTGATACATTTTTAAAAATGTATAGTATTTCAAAGTCAAAAAAAAACCTATAGTATGAGAAAAACATCACAAGTAGTCAGTGTGTCCAAGAAAGTCAGTAAAGTACCATTGTAGAAAAGTTATTAAATACCAAAAAGGTTGTAAAAAAAGTCAAATAGTAATTCTATTGCACGTCAAAAAAAGTCATTAAAAAAAGCTATATAGTATGTGGAAAAAAGTGGTAAATCATAGTATGCTATGTTAGTCTTTAAATAAGCCGAGCAAAGTATGTCAAAAGTTATAGAATAGTATGTTAAGACAGTCATAAAAGTCATAGTAGTGTCGAAAGATTAATTGTACAATGTTGTATGAAGTACAAGTATGGCATGTCAAAAGGTCATGAAATCATAGTATAGTATTTTTTTTTTAAATCATAAGTGTTGAAAAAGGACATTAAAAAGTCATAGTATGTCAAAAAAAGTTACAAATTCATTGCATGTTTTAAAAAAAGTCAGTACATCAAAAACATTAGCGAAAAAAGTTACAGCATGTTGAAACTGCATTGAGAATTGTCAAAGTATAGTATTTTGAAATGGTGACAAAAAAGTCAAGTCCAGGTATAGTATGAAAGTCATATTATTGCAGCTAAAAAAGTAGTATGCCATAAGAAAGCCATGGTATAGTATGTCCCCAAAAAAAAAAAAAAAAATATATATATATAGTAGGTCATCGCAAAGTGTCAAAATGATGGTATACCAAGTTAAAAAGGCATAGTATGACCAAAAACTCATGTCAAAAAGTGATGATAAAAGCTACAGTACATGATGTCAAATAGGTCATAGTGACTTGCCTACAGCTTCAGAGAACTGGTCAAGCAAAAAAAAAAAAAAAAAAGCCAATTCTATTATGTCACAAAGTCACAGTACACTATGTCAAAGAGTCACTGTCAAAAAAGAAGTAATGTATATATAAAAAAGTCAGAATCAGAAAACACGAGTAGAACCTTTAATTTGAGAATATTTTTTATTAATCTAAAATGGGGAGTGGTCCGCTATGAGGCAGATTAGTCAGTATCAGTGTGTTAAGAGGTCATGTGGTGAGACACTTCCTGTAAATTATGTAACCGGTCTTGACATTTTGACCTGCAACCCGGATTAAAAAAAAAAAAGACTAAGAAATCTAAAGCAGGGCCACAGTGTGGAGGCACAACATGGTGAGTGTGGGAAGATTTTTAGAAGTAACAAATCGAACAATATTTTGCATTAATTTAAATACACACAAGCATTCATCTCAGTGGTTCCTTTGCCCATGTTGAGATCCACTGCTGGACTCAACACATACATGATTACAGTAAAAATAACAGGGAATTTACAAGTTCCATTCACTTGTGTCAGTTTCCCTCATGCAAGACAAAAGCATGATTTAGTATTCACATCGAAGCATCAAAGTATTCTTGATTTGACTGAAAAACAAACTTTGGTTCAGGTGATTTGGTAGCTGTGCAAACAGTTAAAGAGGAACAACCTCACTTCTGTTCCATGATCAGCAAAGCTCGTCCCCATCACTGCGTCTCCGTGCAGGTAGGCATTTACAAACTGATCAGGGTTCAGCAGTTGGGCCGTTACCAGGGCATGCAGGGGTTTGGGCAGTCGCGGATATACGACTCCAGTTTTCCCTCAGACACTTGCATCAGTGTTGTGTATGTAGTCAACTTTGAAAAACACAGCAAGAAAAACTTACTTACACTGAACACATACTGTATGATGAATATATACAAGCGGACATTAAAAGACTCACCTTGTTTAGCACTGGCTTGGTTGAAAGGATATCATACATGGTCTTCAGTGAGATGTTCTAAAAGAAAAGAACATCAAAGGCGTCTTACCACTTTGAGTTTAGGTCTGAAGTACAATTTGTGACAAGTTACATTCCTGTTTATCACGTGACTGAGCTACAACTACATCTGAAAACAGTCACATCCTCTAAACCAGAGAGAAATCTGTCCAGTTCTGTCCAGGAAGTGGGTGTCAGTCAATATTTATTGTTCTTAAAAGCCCCGTTTTGCATAATGAGTACTTTTACTTTCGGTACTTTAAGTATATTGTGATGCTAATACCAGTTCACTATTTTTACTTGTAACAGAGTACTTCTACGTTGTGGTATTGTTGCATTTACTTTTTAAGAGTAAAAGCTCTGAATACTTCTTCCACATCTGTCATCAGTACTCACCGTCTGTGTGGTCTGGTTGATGCACTTTATGGCAGAAGTTCTGCGATCATCCAGGAAAAAAGGCTCCTTCCAGTGATCGTAGTTGGTCTCCAGGACATACCACCGGCCCATCTTCAGGTCCATCCTGAGATACAGGAATCAAATATAGAAAAAAACATCATGCGACATGTTGCTACACTAAGCAAACAACTTGTGAAATAAGAATTTAATCAGTTGACCTGAAACCAAAGCGGTCACCAGTTCTTAGCTCAGCAAGCGATGTTTCACAAGAAAACCACACGAGAAAAGCCGAGTCATTGCGACGCTAGCAGCAAACATTAGGCAGTTCCACACAAAGGGGCACGTCAGCTACAACTCCAAATAAAATCATTGGAATTTTGTAGGTTAGAGTGTTTTTGATTTGCTCAGGACTGCGTGATATATCAGTTATTTTTATCCAAACATACGATGAACATATGATTAACAATGTAAAAACTAAGCCACGGACCGCAAACATACTGTATTGCATTGAATTCATTATTTAATGTTTTGGCTGTCATTGGCAGAATGTGCAACATCTTCATTTTAGGCATGTGTGCAATATTTTGGGTTCTGGGTATATGGATCTGTGTGCGTTATTGAATTTTAAATTGTCTATGTTTACAAATGGAGAACTCTGTGCTGCTACTCCTAAGTGAGACAATAAAGGCGAATCTAATCTAAAATGCCATAGAAGCACAGAATAAGCTCCAGTACTTACTCCAAGACATCAATACTGAGCAGTCTGGACCTGGTGATGATGCAGCCCTGGCCTGTCTGGTTTCCTCCGAGGATGAAGTAAGCCGGAGCCAGCAGCTTGGTGCGAGCCAGCAGGGTTTTGGCTTCCTCGTAGCTGGTGAGAACGGGATCACACTCATTGTTGGTACAGAGACATGTTCGCTTGACCGAGAGACGCAGCATTCATGTTTTATGAATCACAAATCTGAATCCAGAAAAAAAAAAAAAAAAATCATAGCTGTAAACTGCCGCTGCCTTTTAATCACTAAATTACGGACAATGCATTCATATATTGAACTGTAGTCTCCCGATTCTTCTACCCTTTTTAAATCCCTTTTATATACACACTATATCTTTTATATTGTCTTGTGTGTATGGTCTCAATATTGTTTTATTTCTTATGTAAAGCCTTGTCGTTAAACATGTACAATCCAAATAAATGCGTCTTGAAACGGATGACATTAGATTTTTCAGATGCTAAAAAGCTGCCCTGTGGAGCTTTGATTACAGCACACAGATATGAGTCACATCAACACTGTGCATGTGTTGAGCTCGACCACAAGATACAAATGAAACAGGGACCGAGCTCTTAGAATCATGACTCTCCATCAACACTAATGGCCAAAAACTCCACGATGTACCTTTAAATATCAAAAAGAGGAAAGAATACCTGTTTGCATTTTCTAGAACGGAGCGAGTGAGGAAGCTCATCCACATCCCATCTCTCTTCCCCAAGATCCACTCCAGGATTCCTGCACGTGAACAGACGCCAGACAAGTCGTCACAAAAGAAAGAGACCTCGTGTTTAATGGAAGTACAAATGGGTCTAAGCAAAACTGTTCTTCACTCACCAATGTATCCTCCATCAAGGCTGAAGCGCTCATTCATAGTCAGAGAGAATATGTTCTAGGAGAAAGAGGAAAAGTCTTACATCCACAGCTGTGCAAGAAGTATCAACAACTTTAATGGATGTTAACAATGTTTAATGCTGATTGAGTCACGTTGACTTACAGGCTTGATGCCAGTCAGCATGCCAACATATCCAGCAAAGTTTGTAGACTTGAAGAGAGTCTGGTTATTTCTCTTGAAGTCGAGGTTGACCACCAGAGGCTTCAGCTTCTCACTAATGATCCACGACTTGTTTTTCACATCCCAGCTGTGAAGAAGCACAATTCACGAGATGTTATTGAGCCGAATCCGAGTCAAGACTATCAAGCTTAAAAATTGTGATTTTGGGGGTAATTTCTTACCCCATAAATAATCCAAAATCCAGATTTCTACCATGGTACAGGTTACCTGTAAGAGTGCAAAGCAACAAAAGCATTTCAGTATTGATGTACCGTGATTTTAAAGTCAATTAATCAATCTGATTGTGGACAATGACCCACCCTTATCGTCTTCTGCAACAATTGATGTGCACACAGTGAACACCTCATAGAAGATGTTGAACAGGACGACCTCACCTAGATTATAAAAAGGAAGACAGACGATTTAAATAGGGCAAAGGTCAATGGAACAATTTTAGAAACATTTATAGGGATTTTGTTTTATTTCTTACCGAGAGGAATCCCTGAAACGGCCGCAATTCCTTTGATTTCCTCACTGAAAGGGTTTGGGAGTGTATCCACCATCAACGGCTGCAGAACATTAGACAAACACAAAGCCTTCAATGACAATACAACTATGGCGGTTATTCTAAGGAAAACATAGTTGAGAGAGAGAGAGA